ATAGCTTCATAGCCTCAAGAAATTATAAGGTAAAACCAGTAGAAGTTATCCTTGTGAATTATTAGTACTATATGCATCTTGTTATGCCTGTAGTTACATTTTTTATGCAAGAAAAAATATATGTACAATGCGATTTATTATGCATATCATATGATGTAAAAAGTATGTTAAAAAAATTTAACAAAAAATAATACGATAATTTATAAAAACAATAAGATAACATTTGGCCTGTAAGACCCCCACGAATTGCGGAATATTTTGAAACATTTTAAATTCTTTCTTATAAACGTTCATGATCATGTGTGTTTACACATACAACAATATATGAACTTTAATGGGAAGGGAGATTACTTCAGGGTCGAACGATTGTTGAATCTTTTCTGTGCTGCTTATAGAAACTGATTGCACGTTGCAGCATTGAATGGTATAATACTAGTTTTGTACAAATTTATTTTAATTTTTTAAATAATATTCTTAGCAGAAACAACATCATGTCTACCGGAAATTTAGGTGAGTTTTATTCATAATTATTAAGTAAAATTAAAGAAATATATGAGAAGTCACAGGTTACAGAGGACATGCTTTCTTGAAAAGAAATTATGATTGACTTTAATATCTTTAATTTATTTTAAACGTTATTTATTTGATATAATATTTATTGTTCACATTATTGTTATTGTAATTATTGCACTTATGAATATATGTTATATATAAGATGGAATGTTATAAGTATACATTGCAAAGATACCATTGGTGAATTTTGTATGTGTAACAAACTTTAATAAACGAGATGATTGATTCACTTGTGTTATACAATTATTTTATTTGTTTTATTGTGTTTGCAGCACTTTTAAGCGTTTCTGATAAAACAAATCTCTTGCCATTTGCTAAAAAGTTACACGAATTAGGATTCATTTTAATTGCATCAGATGGGACAGCAAAATCTTTGAGAGATGTTGGTCTTCCAGTGAAAGATGTTTCTACTATCACAGGAGCACCTGAAATGCTTAATGGAAGGGTTAAAACCCTTCATCCTGCTGTTCATGCTGGTAAAAGATAAATACATTTAAATTTATTTTTGGTTTTTATTTATATAATAAATACTACACAAAGAATATTTTTATTCTATAGGTATATTAGCTAGACTCACAGAATTAGATCAACAAGATCTTCGTAAACAGAATTATGAGCTTATTAGGCTTGTAGTATGTAATTTGTATCCATTTATGAATACAATTGCAAAACCAGATGTAGCAATTGAGGATGCAGTAGAAAACATAGATATTGGCGGAGTAACTTTATTACGGGCTGCAGCTAAAAATCATAATAGGGTAACAGTGGTTTGTGATCCAAATGATTATGAGAAAGTTGGAAAAGAGATGGAATCATCTATTAACAAAGATACTTCATTGAACACAAGGTATATTTGGTAGTAAAACAAATTTTAGAGAAAATAGTTATTTATGCATTTTTATTTTTAGACAAGTATTAGCACTTAAAGCATTTACTCATACAGCAGAGTATGACAATGCCATTTCAGATTATTTCCGCAAACAGTATAGTGCAGGTGTCTCTCAGTTAACATTGCGATATGGAATGAATCCACATCAAAAACCAGCACAAATTTTTACTACTTTGGATCAGTTACCATTAATTGTGGTAAATGGTTCACCAGGTTTCATTAACCTCTGTGATGCATTAAATGGTTATCAGTTAGTAAAGGAGTTAAAAACAGCATTAGGTTTACCAGCTGCAACATCCTTTAAGCACGTTAGCCCTGCTGGTGCTGCAATTGGTGTACCATTAGATGTAGTACAAGCAAAATTATGTCAAGTGGATGATTTATTAAACCAACTTACACCATTAGCAACTGCTTATGCACGTGCACGAGGAGCAGATAGAATGTCAAGCTTTGGAGATTTTATAGCATTATCTGATCCATGTGATGAAATTACAGCTAAGATTATATCTAGGTAATGTAAAATACTGTTAATTTAAAAAAATTTAGGAAATTATATTTATATGATTTTATAAAACATTTTAGAGAAGTTTCTGATGGTATCATTGCACCCAGTTATTCAGACAATGCGCTTCAAATTTTGAAAAAGAAAAAAAGTGGTGCATATTGTATTCTTCAAATTAATCCAAATTATGTACCTTCTCCAATAGAATCCAAAGTTTTGTTTGGTTTAACTATGGAACAAAAACGTAACGATGCAGTTATTAATAAAGATACATTTTCCAATGTAGTAACTAAAAATTCGGTAGTTCTTCCTGATTCTGCTGTGAGAGATTTAATAGTAGCTACCATTGCTTTAAAATATACGCAAAGTAATTCAGTATGTTATGCAAAAGATGGACAAATAATTGGAATTGGTGCAGGACAGCAATCAAGGATTCATTGTACAAGACTTGCTGGAGACAAAGCTGATAATTGGTACATCGTATTTCCACCATTTAACGTTTAATGAATGAATTACTGTGGATCACAGTATTATTGTCAATGTCAAAATATTAATGAAATTCAGTATTACATACTGAACACATTTTAGGTGGCTCCGGCAACATCCTGAAGTTACTAGCATGAAATTTAGGAAAGGTGTAAAGAGAGCAGAAATTTCAAATGCTATTGACAACTATGTAAATGGATCTATTGGAAAAGATATGGATGAAGCTATGTGGGCTGCTATGTATGAGAAAGTTCCAGAAAAGCTCTTAGAAAGTGATAAATTGGAATGGATAAAAAAAGCAGATAATGTTGCTCTAAGCAGTGATGCTTTCTTTCCATTCAGAGATAATGTGGATAGGGCTAGATTGGTACATATTTTAATTATTTATTGCATTTGTTTTCTTTTTAGATTTTGTAAAATTATTATTTAATTGCAGAGTGGTGTTAAATATATTGCAAGTCCTTTTGGTTCTACAAATGATGAGGCAGTAATACAAGCTTGTGATGAACACAAAGTGGTATTAGTTCATACTAATATTAGACTGTTCCATCATTAAATTGGACAGAATACGATTTAACGAACAACAGTTAATTCATTGACTCATTATATCAGAGTAATACATTGAAAACCGTTTTACCAATAGTAAATAACAAATAATTTTCTGATGTAAGATTTCCGATTTTATCAAAAACATGCATAGAGTTATCAACAAGAAGAAAAGTGTTAGTTGTAACACTGAAATTGTATTGTTTATATAAAATAAAATTACCATTGTATAATATGAACAAGAAGTAAAATTATTAATGCGTAGGAAAATATATTATTTGACCAGACTTTTTTATTTTTTAATTTTATATATTTACATGTTTCGATATTAAATAGCTTACATGGTTTACCATATGATAATGTTACTATTACCATATGGTAATATTAATATGATAATCGGATTTTAGACTTTATGTACAACAAATTAGTAAATAGCAATGAATGATAAATTTAATACAAGATTTAATGTAGGTAAATGTGCATCGATATGCATTGGGCTTCGTTTTGTTTCTCTGTGACACAGATACGGGTACTGTGTTCAAACTTCGAATAACAAACAAAAGCGAATAAATTGTAAAAATGAGTAATTCAACTATTTCTGATCAATCGCTCATGGACAAGTCTATGCGAAGTGTTTTCGGTAAGAAACATCATTTACTGTTGCATTATTTTTCATTAATAATAGTACTGTATAACCTTCAAATACGTATGATCTGTTTTAATAGTCGGGAATATCCCGTACGAAGCCACAGAAGAGAATTTAAAGGATATTTTCAGCGAAGTTGGACCAGTGCTTTCATTTAAGTAAGTTGCACTTAAATATTGTTGATTAATAAAATTTACTTTTCACGTATATACTGTTATTAAGTTTGAAATGTTTAACTATTTTTTTTAATTTCAAGTTAATTATTGATAATATAATAATTTTTAAGCATATTAAACTTAGTGTTAAAGTTTACTTTGTCCTCATAGATTTTGAATTATTTCAAATAGATTAGTATTTGATCGAGAAACAGGTAAGCCTAAGGGATATGGTTTTTGTGAATACAAAGATCAAGAAACAGCTCTTAGTGCTATGAGAAATTTGAATGGATATGAAATTGGTGGAAGGACATTAAGGGTTGATAATGCCTGTACAGAAAAGAGTCGAATGGAAATGCAAAGTCTTTTGCAAGGACAAAATACTGAAAATCCATATGGAGAAGCAGTACAATCAGATAAAGCCCCAGAAGCTATAAGTAAAGCTGTTGCATCTTTGCCACCTGAACAAATGTTTGAACTTATGAAACAAATGAAACTCTGTGTACAAAATAATCCAAATGAGGCACGTCAAATGCTACTTCAGAATCCTCAACTGGCATATGCATTGCTTCAAGCTCAAGTAGTGATGAGAATAGTGGATCCTCATACAGCAGTTAACATGTTACATAAAGCAAATCCAATCCCAGGTGTATTAACACCTTCTGATAAACCAGCTGTTCATCCAATTGTACCACGAATTGAAGAACCATGGGCTCCTACACGCCCAACACCAGTTACAAATCCTGCAGCACCAATATTTGCTGGTGAGTACAAAAGTTTAAGAACGATATTCAAAGCTATAAATATTTTTGATCTTACTCAATTAAATTAAATTAGTTTTTAATATTAAGAAAATTAACCTTTAAAGTTAACAAATTAGCATATGAAATGTGTTAACTTCTCACTCAATGTCCGTTCCTATAACCCGATGGCACTCTGTAAAAATTATGCACCGGGAAAACTATTTGCTTTATTTTTATTCATTGTACTGTAATATGTATAAAATTTTGTAATAGGACAAGATGTTGATCTGCGTACATTGGATAGACAAATGGATCCTCGTTTAGCTAGAATGGATCAAGATTTAAGAGGACCACAACAAGTACAACCAACACCTGTTAGTGCACCTCCAACTGTATCTGCCAATACAGATCCTAGAGGACTTAGTACATTTAATATTCCAGATAAGTTAGTATTATATTCACATGAACAAACTTGTTTAATTATTGTACTTTAAGAATCTACTCTTTTTTACAGCACACTTCCTGTTGAAGGAGTTGAGAGGTTCTACAATTACTTTAGATTATTTAAAATAGCAATACTTAAAACATTTTAAATATGCTTAATTTTTTTCAGTTTTTGTCGTGATCCAAGAACAGATAGATTTGGTAGAGATCCAAGGGATCCTAGAGATCCAAGAATACCTATTGATCCTAGGATTACAAAAGTCAATCGTAAGCTTCTAAAAATATTGATTTGCTGTATTTAAACAATTTTCCTTTTCACAATAATATACAAGGTTTTCGGTCAATAGTTGATAGGAAATTTAAGGAGCGATTCTACAAGCCAGAATAAGACGAAAATCAAGAATAAAAGAATAGCGTTTGAGGCTCCGTTTTTTAGTTATGTACTGGCTAGTGTCAGGAGATCTGCTCGTCCATAGGGATATCTTTAATTTTAATTTTAATTTTAATAACGCAAAACGAAGCCACAAATGCAATTTTTTTATTCTTAATTTTCATCTTACTCTGACCTGTAGAGAACCCTTTTTAAATTTTGTACCAACTGTTGCCAAGCACCTTATATAAATCTAAATTTTATTATTTCCAATTTTTTCCATTTTACTTAACTAACTTGATAATTTAATTTTTTAGCACCAGTACCAGTTGTACCGCCAGTAGTACCAAGACCAGTTGCTGCACCTACTGGTCAATCTTCGAATGTTGCAGCAGCGAGTGCTGCAGCTCCTGCTCCTGCATTAACAACATCAACAACATCTGCAACTTCGAGACTCATGGCAGGCATGTCATCAGCAGGGAATATACCTAGTGGGGCGTCTGATCAGGAGAAGGTATATATGTATAAACATACCATATATTATAATATCAATCAATTTTATAAAAAGATATATTAGATCTTACTTATGTATGTAATTAGTTATATGTAACAAAACATGAAAATAATTATTAATTTCATTGTAGGCTGCTTTAATCATGCAAGTACTACAGTTATCAGACGAACAAATTGCTATGTTACCACCTGAACAAAGGCAAAGTATATTATTACTTAAAGAACAGATTGCTAAAAGTGCACAACGTTAATATGTAATTCTTTCCATTTTTTTTCCTTTATTTTCAATAAACGTTTAAACCTATGTAAAACTTGTACAATAGTAATATATAAACTTATCTATATCGTACGGTCAATCAGTTGCTTAAATTAACTTGTCATTTTATACTGATAATAAAAAAATAAAAGTATATTTAATAATATAATTCCGGAACTTAGTAATTTCATATTAATTCACCATTATATATGTCACCGAAATAAGCATTTACTAGTATTTAAAGATAACTCAGTCTGTTAATTCTGTTTGAAATAAACCTTTCTCAATAAGTGCATTATACATAAGAGTTTTACACTCTTTTTCATTGTATAATTCAATGCTCAAAAATTCTTCGTTTGTGTCCTAAAATAACCAAATTTAGTATTCATAGTTTATTGTTATATGGAAATATGACTGGCTGATCATAAGTACTTACTTTGACTATAGCTATAACGCATTTATCGTACATTTTTTCTAAATAAGGCAATAATGTATTGTAATCTACCGTAGAGGAAACTTTTATATTCCATAATTTACACTTCATTGCCATAGTTGGTATATCTATCCATTCCTTTTTTAAGGTATATAATTCACACCTAGTATGCAAACAAAACAATTATTTTTCTATCGAATGGTACTAATATCAATATAGAAAAGCAGAAAATATGACTTACTGCTGAGAATTTACTGTTCTATATTCATCATTACCGTAATCCACGTAAAATAATTTAATTTCAATATCATCTGAATCTTTAATCGGTTCAGATTCTACTATTAGACAACGATACCAAAGGTTATCATTGAATTTTGCACAACATGGGGTATCTGTAAAAACATTTATATTTATTTTAATCTATAAGGTATATAAATAGAAACTTATTCAATTACATGATATACAGTAGACTCCCGTACAACGCGAGTTCCTACAATGCGAATTCCTATAACGCGCAAGAGATTTTGCGACTACTGTTTTCTTATAACGCGATTCCTCGTACTACAACGCGCCAAATAATAAAACACAGGAATTCCCCGCATTTAAAAGTTGAGCATTAAACTATTTTCTTCATCGTTACCGACTTCTTCTGTTTCATAATTGTTTCTGTTTTTTGTTGATTGTTTCTTTATTACATACATTAATGTTCTTTTTTTTTAAACCAATAGCGTATATATGTCACTTTTTTTTCAAAAACCTATCCTATTTGATAAAACATAGACAGTAAAAGTTGGCGTAGCAATAATCATTCCAAACGTAATACTTTAGATTATTCGCGTTATTATCGATTATTCGATTATTCGTGTTTAACGAATTTATACAACATGTAACGTTTAACCGCGTTATACGGGAGTTTACTGTACTTAATTTCTGTATTAATTTTAGCCAAAATTAATAGTGAGCTTGTTGTTAGCACCAATTTTTATGTGTAAATGAACAATACTTACTGGGATTAAGGTTTGTAATCAATGATTGTTTGTATGCATTTTCTTGTAAATCCTTCATTAAATGTTCATACTGTGTATAATTCATATGCAAATCCTAAAATGAAGAGAATATTAATTACATTATAAATATGAAAAATAAGAAAAGAAGATGAACATAATAGTAACTTTATTACATACCATTGAGTGTATATTTTCTTTTAAATGAGCATAAAACTCAGTTGGACTAATACTGCAACACAATTCTATTTCAATGTAGTCTACATCTTCTGGTATATTTGCCAGCTTATACTTTATTGAAAGATTTTCTTCAGAAACAACGTGAGGGGTCGAAGTAACTGCTTCGTCCTTTACATTAATCCACGATAGGTTCTCAATATCAGTTGTACTATAACTTTCATCTTTATTTACAGCATCAATATGTGATAGTATAGAATGTCCACTGACAACATCATCCGTCACTCTCTTGTCGTCTGAATAGAACGATCTTATGTTTTCTACAACATCTGGCGTTACCGTTGAAGATAAACTGTTTTCTGATATGGTAGTGTCCATAGTAGGATTAATATTCATTTTCCATTCGTCAATAAGAAATGTAATTAAATCGCTTTTCTGTCTGCAGTATTTATTTGGTAATATCCTTAAAGAAATCTGAAACATCGTAAATATACAAAATTAACATTATAAATATACAAAACATCAATAAACTATTAAACCTGAAATATTTAATCGTTGTATAAACGATTCTGAAACATTATAAATGCTTTGCATTTTATAGGCATTAACAAAATTGTTAGTGAGTAAAGTTCGTTTTTTGTAAGATTACTTACAATAAGATGTGTTTTAGTCCTATCTATGACCGTCACTTCACATTCGTGATCTACTAAAAGACCATGTATTTTATCTAAGTCTTCTGTTATCCATACTCCATTCTCATTTCCCTATCAGGCAAATAAATTTAAATGTATTAATAATTTTAGAATACATTCATTAGTAAAAATTTGCTAGTTAATAAATAATACATTGAAATCGTCTGAATCGTTTACCGAATTTAAACCGTAGATTAAACATTTTGTACATTGAATTGGAATATCCTGCAAAGCAATTTTTTTTTTTAAGGTTCCACTTAAACACTTTTCGACGTTCCCGTAGTCTACAAATTCCACCTGTAACAGAAACGCCTTTTATTATTACAATGCACTGCATGTATTTCAGGTTTAAAATGTAACAAATGACAGAATTTTTACATCGATTATATCGTTTTCTTGAATTTTCATTACTTTTCCCCGATACCATTTCTTATTGGTATGATATTGTGCAATGCATATATCTCCTTCAATCCAAACGGTGTTGCATGATTCAATGGGAGAATTATTATATAATTTTTGTAGGTTTGTTTCTATGTGTTGCAATGTTTCGGCACCTGAAAAAAAGCATAATAAAATTTACTGATGAAACATTCTAGGATGTACATGATAATTAACTTAAACTGTACATTTATAATGTATAATTAAACTATTCGATATATTGTTGTTATTTGAATTTTAAGGGATGCATACCTTCGTTTTTGGAATGGAGATATAAGAAACAATTATCATCCAAAAATGTTGGTATGGCAATAAATGCATCCTTTATTATGGGCTTTGCTGGTAACCAAGTTGACAATTGTCCAATCGATGGAATGTTTTCTAGAATCTCTTCCTCCATATTGTAATCTTGGCCACCGGCTTCAGAGTTTAATGGTAATACGGAATCTTCTAGATTGGTGTTAATTTGAAACCATTTCACGTTCGGTTCGCATTTTGCTAACAATTCCAATCTCTTCGCTAATTGTCGTTTCAATTCAATAGCCAGAATTCGATCCCGTTTCTTTGAATATCTGACAAATTTTAACAAATGCGTATATCAGTTTACATTAATGGAAACAATTAAGTAGCGACAAATGATTTGGAGAATCTCTGAAGATATTACGTACTCTTTTATAGGCAAAGCAACACCTTTTTCAACTAATATTCTATTGACAGAGTTAATTTCGTGCCTCGTCGGGTCTAACGGTCCGTCCATTTTTACTTGTTTAAGCCATAATTCAACCTGTATTGTAGAATCTTCAATTTGTTCTTCTTCCTGTGAAATAGAGAATGATACTGTTTGAATAACCATTGTACTTTGAAATTTACATAACGAATAAATGAATTTACAAAAATACATTCAATACTTAAATGTTAAACTGAATACGATTTTTTCATTCAATGAAAAGTATTTTAGCGTAATTTTAGCGTATACTTGTATAAATCTCCGAGTAGTATGAAATCAAATTTACCAGTTTAGATATGTAAAATTTGCTACCGTGATTGTTGTTTATAATTTCATGCAACTTCTCGCAAGATAACGTTGGCCATGTCGTGGTCCCCCCGCACGGCAGTATACCACTCAGTTTGATTTTAAATACGTATTTCGGTATTTTGAAAAATGTAGAACACAATGCCTGTATGTCATTCATTGTTACAGTTTCTTCGACTCCGATGTCGTATAGGAATACAATTACTTTATCTGGGGATTTAATGTCGACAATGTGTCCACGATAATACATGTCGTTTTTCGCAGAATAAACTGCACAGGTGTCATTTTGGCTCCAAATATTCTTTTTCGCTGAATAGTACTTGCTATAAAAATCTTGCATTTGTTGTGTCATTTGTTTCATATTAGTTTGACACGTTACGTCAGAGACGTAAATACAGTCTGGAGAGCGGACTTGATGTATCAAAACGCATATCTTGAAAGGATCTTCACTTTCCTCTATACTTTTTTTCTTCATGTTCGAGATTACTGGATCATCGTAAAGTTCACCACTGAAGTGAGTACTGCTAATATTCTTTTTAAATTTATTTTTCCTCTTACCGGATTTCTTGTTGGTGTTTCCGTCGTAGGAACTGTGTTATGGAATAAAAACACATAAATTTGTTATTAAAAACTACCTCTGCTTCAGTTTTGTTTTTAACAAATTGATTTTAATCTTCAGAGACGGTGAGAATGAAGATAATTTTTAAAAATAAAATCATATTTGATTCAAGGGCTTACCCTGGACCAATTTTGGTCAATGCGAAACCATAAGATATTAATAAATTACCCACGTCAATTTCATCGTACGTATACATACTAACGTTATACGTTTCTCCGATTATATCAAAAGCTACAACTTTAAAATTTTTCGTTTTCAGCAGAAATTTCTTTAAAAACTGTTTCGCTTCTGGATCCCACTGGTTCTCGTAACCAGTATGTGGCTTTATATTTTTTAACGAAACCTTTATCGCCTGATGATCGAATAAAATAATTAGCAAAGTGTCGGTAAAAAAATGCTAAATGTAAATTATCAGATGGTTTCATTACTTGAGCTCTGTAACTCATATACTTTGGAGATAAAACGCGTGCAGCATCATAATTTAACATTAATGTGTATCCAAGATCTACGTAGAAAACCTTTATATTATTTTCTGTGACTCCGTCTATTATGCCTCTGTGCCATAATCCATCTACACCTCGTGCAGCGCATGGTAAGTCTGTACAAGTAGTGAATATAAAAAAATTAATTATGCGATCAAGATAATATTTGACAATCTAGTATAATTAATTTCTAGTAAAAATGAATTTCTAAATTTAGCATCTCCGTTAGCAACTCTTGAAAAGGACACTAGTAATAAATACCATTGTATATTGATATATTATATACTTTATAATGTGATAATTTTTCTGTTATGTCAGACACGAAAAATGTATTACGTTTGTACGGAATAGGAATCAATTCAGTAGAATACAAGTTCTGCTCGTATTCTTCCGTCATCTGAAGTGTCATTTTTGTGAAATGCGATCTATTTGCGTGCCTCTGTAACATAATTATGCATTTAATCACTTAAATTTTTTTATTCACTTATCCGTTAATGAAAAGAATATAACAATAATTGTAAAAACTAACAAACTGAAAGTTTATCGTGGAAAATATAACAACAATGAATAACTATAATAGTTTGAAATTTAATAAACTTACTTTTTGAACGTATATGGAACTAGGAGATTCCACGAACAGAATTTGAACGGCCGTTTCATCTTTAATGTCCAACTGTTCCTTGTAATACTTCCTCATCGAATCAGGATTCGTTCTCTGCGAACAAGGGAATCGATGGTGAAATTTCACGAATTAAAATCGGCATGCTCGTAAACGGGTCGCAATTACCTTTAATTTGTTCGTCGAAATGCAAGTTGCGTATTTCATGTACGTTAACGACTCTTTCACGGATATTAAACCCGAGTCTTTCGAAGATATCACGCATAGATCCACGTAATAGGTATCGCCGGTTATCATCATGATGCATATCGAAACCATCGCGTTTCTGGAATGGATTAATTCAATTTTTAGTGACCTTTAGCTTTTAAATAAAAGAAAATTTGTTTTATTTTTGTAAATCAAAATGTTAGAGAAAAGTATGCGAAGAAATTTTAATGCCACTTATATTTTGCAAATCACTTGAACGAGAAGAAGCATCGTGGAACGAAGAATATTAAAATATAAGGTATAATTGCGTTTGGTTAATGTTTGATGTATTTAGATTTAGTTAAAATTGAATCTCGACGTTGCTGCAATAATCTGAAGAATTTTAATCTATCTGCCTTTAATTGAGGCTGCAGGCGAGCCAATGATCGTCGGTTTTTTGACAAGATCAAACGTGCCTCTACGTAAGGCACAAGACAACTCGATCGAGACAACTATCGGTTGAAGCAGCCTCGCAGTGTCTGTAAGTACATAGCTCCTGACGATACTTACATGCAAATCAGTTTCTTAAAAGCTTCAATAGCCTCGGGTTGCCACTGAGTTTTTTTCGGGACGATGTCGTACAATGTACATCTAAGGGCCATCACTGGTAACATCGCAAATTGCGGGACAATATTTCTTATTCTTGTTAATGGTACGTCCTCCTCTTTCATCCCGTAATCAATGAACACCACGTTGTATGTTACGTCCCTATTCAAATTTATGTTTTCGCTTGTAACGCGTCCTCGGTACCAAGCATTGTCTTTGGAGTATTTCACGACATACAGTGCATCTGAGAATAAAGATGTTTAAATATAGAAAGTTAGACGAAAACATGCATTGTATAAACAAACGAGACGTTCGAACGATATCATACTGAAAGTGATTTCGGTTGGTATAATGCTTGAGCTATTGGCTAGTAATGTCAGGTTTTTGCTAAGCTCTAATATTTTCTGTTGATTTTGTACCAATTGAACATAAAAGCAAGAGGGATCTACGACGTGGCTGACACGGACCATCTTTGAAGATCCTTTAAATGAAAAGAAAAAATGAAGATTAGACATGTTTTACATAATTATACTCTAGGAATTCATAAAAATGATATAAAGTAACTTGAAAATTCACTGAATGAAATTGCGTGAAAAACAGTAATGAAAAAACTTCACAGAAATTTTATTTCTTCACAGAGCAATTAAATGTTCCTTCGGTTTTTGTACCAAATCTCATCTCTAAAACTGATAGTATACTGAAGTAATTAATAGTAACGTATTAAATAAAAAGATCCATTTGCACGATTTTGCTATTCTAGGAGTGAAAGAAACGAAAAAAGGAAATATCGAAATAAAGAATGGTAGTTGAGAGGAAATCTTCCATCAAATATTAATATTTTATAAGAATTAAATGGAAGATAAAAGTTCTTTAAAGATGGATACATGCAATACTGTATTTTTGAAGTATACACTAATAGCTCAGTAAATTCTGCTGTTTTTTTTTTTATTATTTTCACTTATATTAACAATACAGTTTTATCTAGAGCATCTTCGAATTCGTACAATAAAAAATCTCGACAATAATCGAAAGAATCAATTCCTTTAACAGATTGCATCAAGAATCACGAAGAGAAGTTTTAGGGATGTATTTTTAACAAAAGTTAACACCCAGTAAAGTCTCAAATCTATAGAAACAGATCTGATTTTTATTAAAGGAAAAGAGAACATGTACCAATGCAGAGAAAATTGTCAGTCTTTGTGGGAGGAAGAGACACCAAAGTCAACGAGGAATTTATCATCTCTCTAGATATGACGTTAGATTCTGCAAAAAAATAATTTTTTATTGCTAAACCTAGAAAAAATGAATGAAGAAAAGGTGTAATAGTGTTTCTTTGTTTTAAATCATGATTTCCCGAAAGTCAACATTTTTAAACTTCATGTAATATTGAGACTAAATTTTAATCACATGTAGATACCTTGTATCTTGTATACCTTGTATCTTGATAAATTACCCGAATGTAACCCTTTTCCCCAGACATTCCACCAAACGGTAAGTCGATTCTACAATTGACCACCAAACGGTAGGTCGATTCAACAATTCACCACCAAACGGTAGGTCGATTCCACAATTGACCACCAAACGGTAGGCCAATTCTACAATTAGCCACCAAATAAAATAAATATCGTCAACTAAAAATTTTGAACGTCATAGCTAACTAGACATTTTAAATTGAAAAAAAAAAATTATGAAGCATAATAAGCATAATATAATCTTATGCTTAAAATAATGAAAATTTTCTTGTGGCCGCCTGAGAGCAACCCGTAAATCTGGCGTGACAGTGAACGTGTTAATAAGTAAATGTTGTTCAAATTATGTCGTGTTTGATGTCATTTTCATCAGAAAAATCTCATCAATATGTTAAGAAAAATTTCGTGTTTGGTGTTTAAATCGCTTGGTTGCCTCGACTCTCGTTTCATCCTTATCTTTTATTCGCTGTCCTTGTCTTCGTTTGGCAAACTACAAAGGCGGGCGCGAGGCTCGAAAACGTAGTCCCTGACTCTACAATAGGCCTGTTTAGGTTCCTTGCTGGTGGTCAATTGTAGAGACATTACTGTATACATAAATTTGGCAAATCTTATTACTAACGATAAGATACACCTTTCCAACTCCGCTTAGCTGGTTGTTTCGTAGCGTATTATAATTGGATATCTGAACTAGTAATCGATAACAGGAAAATAAACGTTACTTGGAATGTTCTCCTTAATCAGCGGCTCGATCTCGTAATCGTCCGGCAGCAATTCTGTTGGTTGCAAGCTAAAGTTTGACGTTTTGGGTATGTGTATGTTGCAGTGCTTTTCAATGGCTTCGATAATATTCAGGTCTACGTTGAATCTGTAAAAACAAATCGTTCGTTACTCGTGAGAAATTCTGCTACGCAATGTTGCTGTTGAAAGTGGTTGTTTGAAAAATTGAAATTCGGAGCTGTGAGAAAACCCGTCCCGAAGACAGTGAAGCGAGCACCTCGAAGCCAGGCCCAGCGCGCTTGGTTGGGGACGACTCGCCCCTTTGGGTTTTTCCCTGGGCCTGTTCGCATAGGGGTGGACAGGGATCGGCAGGACGACGCGTACACACTCTTCACGAGACCGTTGAACGCGTACTTTTTGCGAACGACGCTCAGACAACGCGGAAATAGTCTGCGTGTAAAATACATTGTTGCGAGAACGTAGAAACGTTTAATTAATTTTACGCCCACTCTATTCCGAGTTAGAGTACTTTCTGACAGAGCTATTATGTAATAACTTGAAAATTTGCTTCGAAGTAGATGGAACAGAAATTTTTATTCGCAAAGAGCATGGTATAACGATGGAAAAATGTTATATAGGATATTAAAATGCCTCAATGGCCCACAATGGTCGCCAGAAATAAAATTTTAAGTTACCTTTTTCCTGCCTTGGGTTAAAATTAACCTGAATCATGCTACTTTAAAAGAAAAAACACGTCTCAAGATTGCACCTCGCAGAACAGAGTTCTTTCGTTTACGGGTTCACACTTCACTAACCAGATATAGTTCGGGGCATGATATAGCGTGATAGTAAACTAAACCCTTGACATTCTATTCTATACTCTGTTCAATTTAAGAATAACCTTGCTTTGCGCATGGGACGTCCCATGCCTAAGGCAGAGCTAAAACGTCCAAACTCCCACTTAACCGCCTACGTTTTTCTCCGTCTTACCCTCTGCTACGCTCTCCGTCTACTGTTCCAGGCGTGACGCTTTCATATAACACGGTGATATAATTAATTCTCTATTTACTTTTGTATTCATCTCTTTTTGGTTTTATTGCTGCTATTGTTAAAAGAATGTTTCTTACGACCATATAAAGAATTTGAAGATCTAATCTGATTTTCTTCCATACCGTTTTGTAATTCTTCAAATTTTATTTCTTTTTCTAATTATGCGACACTCTATGCGTTAAAAATCGTTCTTTTGTCGGATTGCTTCCTATTGGATTATGGGAGTTATGGATTATTAAATAATTAATAATTCTTATTTTAAACTATAAACTTTTACTTGACACAAAGAAGGTTCGCTTTTCTACTTGATGGCAAGAGCACTGTATGTCAGTGATGCCAGAATCGTGGGCCGTGGACCCCCCACTATGACCTACCGCCGTCTCCCACTATACCGTCCTCGTGCTCTCACACAAGTGCCCTCTTTCCGCCAATTATCTACGTCACCACGTGACGCTCGAGCAACCTGAGCGCATGAGTAAGAATTAGGAGACTTCCTTTGAATTTCGGTGAGACGCAGTGTTTCGAGTATATGGACGTTCGGGACAAAAATCATAACTTCTAAATTAATCAATTTTCAACCTATGTTCTCTAATACTTTTGATTGGCACATAAAAAAATATATGGTTTCATTTAAAAAAATTGTAGGAATCTTTATTTTTTATCGAATAAAAACTTTTTTGTAAATTTTCATTAACACGATTTATTGTCAACTGAATGCTGATTAACTTTTGTTTGAAAAATTTGTTCATCAGTTTCGCGGAAATACCGGCAAAATCGTAGCGGCCGTTTCGCATATAGGGGTTTGAGAGACAAATATCATAACTTTGTATACATTCAAAATTTCTCTTTTATTTTTGTTTTGTAATTTTCATTAGGTAGTTAAATAACAATGTAAATAATACAAAATTTGAATAACGCGTACAATAGTAGGATAGGACGCTAGAATACTGAACGCGTCAATAACGATTTTGACAATTTCCTTCATTTTAAGCAACTTTAAGCAGTTAAATTTGACATTAATATAAAGATTTATATGTTCAAAATTAATATACAAAAAATCACAGAGGTATTACTCGGTACTTTTTTTAAAAGTCTCGTTAAATTTGATAAAAATTTTACATAAAAAATTAGGAAAATTTATTACTATTGTATTAAAATTCTCTGTCAGCTTCAAAGGTATTCAGGTACTAAAGACAACCTATAAAAATCAAATCAAAAACACAAATGGTCTGTGAATGGCACGAATTTGAAAAATACACTGATTTTAATGGTTAATGTTCCGACTAGCATAGTAACTTTCTGGTAAAAGACAGCCCCAGAGCGTCAAAAATCAGGCCCTTATATACCCCAAAAATCGTGAGTTTTGGTGATAGGGATTTTCCTGGGAACGGAATGCGTTCGTTTGCCTTATCTCAAGGACTTTCTAGAGGGTACGCGATAGACTAAAGACTCGGCGCCACCGTGTCGGCAAGGCTGCGTAGGTAACAAGGGGATGAATCTACACTTCTGGATCGGTGGACACTTGTAAAAAAAACTTGCCGCAAAGTTGTTTATAATAATGAAAATTAATGTTAAATTTTTTTTTACATCGTATTCTGCTCGACAAGGAGAGAAAAAGTTTGAAAGGAGCTATTGGAAATGGGTTATGGAAATAAAATAGTCTTTGTAACTGCTAATATTCTGTTCATTCTTCGACTCAGAGGAAACGTGTTTCAATTCTGACACGTCGTATAGAATTAATGAATAATGTAGCGACTGTTTGATCGCCTGAATTTTTGGCTTTTAATTCTGAATATATTTCTCCTTTCGTTTAACCTTTGCTGCGTTCAGCCCTCGCATTTCCCCTTCCAAATGTTGCATTTTGGGTCCCTTGACGGGGGTGATTTTGGGTGGAAGGCCAAGACTCCCAATGAAGTTAGGGCTTTGGTCAACGTCCAACGCCAACCGCTCACCCTCAGGGAGGGGGTGTTTTGCGCGAAGTACGCGTCACCTGGGCTTATGGAAAAACGCAGGGTAACGGTACCGCTCGCTTGCGAGAATGTGCTTCGACTTGCGTGGGTTTATGATACGTCAATTGCTATTGAGATACACGAAGAAACTCCAAATTCTCCGCTTTTATGAGAGGTTTGGAGCCTTTCTGACAATAAGGAAAAATTAAAGAACGAAACATTAAACGCGTATTCAAACCTTAATCTCAAAAATAGCAGAGAGTCGCGTTCGTATCATAAACCTGGTCTAAACTTAAGTATCCTTAACAAAACGTCTTCACTCTTTCAAATGCTCTATCGAACTGTCCCTGGACACCCAAAAAGGGAAAGCTGGGGTCTGCTTGTACCTACGAACTGTTCATCCTATTGTATTGCAGTATGCAGTGCTTGACTCGAAGACGAACACCAGACACATCTGGTGGAAGCTCTAGTGTCTTTGTCTAAAAGAACGCGGAGACATTTTTGTCCTCACTTGATTATTTTTACAGGGTGTTCTTAGAAATAATCCAACAGGAGCCATATGCCGTAAACAAATAGTTTTCGAGATAAACGTTGATAAACTTTTGCCACGATTTGATTGTGTAGAGTTATACGTATAGACTAGGACCTATCACGACATAAGATCTAGCCGCGTAGCAGATGCTTGGTATAATGGTATGCATGCCCTAACAGAAACGACAATTAAACGGACAACAAGGTTTAAAGGACCAAAAATGTACCGACTCGAAGGCAGGGTCGAACCAAGTGAAGTCGTTTATGTTCAGACATTTTAGAGGTGCAGAAGGAAGCCGCTGAGCGGGTACGCGAAACAAGTGACCCCGCGAGGCTGGCACGGGGGAGTGGTCCCCGGAGGGACGGGCAGCTAGACCGCCCACCGGCTGGACCACG